GGGCTGTTCCTGCCCCAAATTCAGCCCTTTAGTCTGTGGGTTTGTTCTCGCTCTGTGACCTACACTGCTTCCCGAAATTCAGCAGATCTTTTAATATTGATGGATGCCTTCCCCTTGGAACGGACAAGAGACACTCGTGTGTGCAAGACACACAAACGTACACACAGAGAACTGAAGAAGGAGCAAACAATGCAATACAATCATTATAAAAAGGATTGGCCAACAGCAGAACTTCAAATCACCCCTGCAGAACATCTGCTGGCTTTTGCTTTCCCCAGCTTGGCTGGGGCCCGTCCCAAGAAGCAAGGAACAGAGAGAGGCATCTTCAGGTTACTTCATTCTCTTGGCCACGTCCAGATAGGCATATTCAATCTCTTGATCAGCAGGGCAAGTGTTTGTGAATTCATCTCTCGCATATGCGTTGTTCAAGTATCGGGAAATCCCCGTCATTTCAGGGGGGAAATCAAAATTGCGGTATTTTTTCGCAACGACCTTTTGTTAAAAGACAAAATAAGGGAACAGGAAAACGTCATTACACACACACAATCTGTAAAAAAAAGAAACAAAAACAAACAAAAAAAAAACCCAAACAACAAACAGCCCCCAACTTACTCTTTGTGCCCATTCTTAACTTACAACGTGTGAATCTGTTGTTGTTGATGACGAAGGGGAAAGGAAAAGGAAAGACATAAAAAGCAGGGAAGATGTGGGTTGAAGAGAGCTGGTGAAAAAGAAAACTCCCTGGTTTTATTTGGTGTGTATATATATATTTTCAGAGCTAAGCAAAGCCATATGTGGACCAGTAAAGCACACCTGGGAGAGATACAGGTTAAACCAGCAAACTTAAACCAGAATGGAGAGAACAACCTTACAGGAATAAACTGGCCCACACCTGGAGGAAAAATTTGAGTGGAAATCCCTAAATTTCCAGTGATTAGGGAAAACAACTCCTGGCCCCTCCCTAATCCCCGCCTGTGGACAGTGTGACACTCCTGCTCCACGTGCACCTGAGCCGAGGTGACTGTCCCTGTGCTGACCCCGGGCTTTGCTGGGCCTGAGCTCTGTGTGGGCGTGGGAAAGGGCTGCTCCCTGCAATAGGATCAGCCAGGGCACGTCTGGGCAAAGTTTTCACTGGGGGAGGTGTCGGGAAGCAACTGGATCCACACTCTTCCTGTGACAAAACAGTAATCTGGAAGGGGAAGGTTCCCCGGGTGACCTGGTTTGCCTGAAAACCAGGGAGATAAATGGCAGTGTGGTCATTTCTCTTCTAGAGCCCAGACTGGAATCACAGAATCACAGAAGGTTTGGGTTGGAAAGGACCTTAAAGATCATCCCATTCCACCCCCTGCCATGGGCAGGGACACCTTCCACCAGCCCAGGTTGCTCCAAGCCCCGTCCAACCTGGCCTTGGACACTTCCAGGGATCCAGGGGCAGCCACAGCTTCTCTGGAAATTCTATTCCAGTCCCTCCCCACCCTCCCAGCCAGGAATTCCTTCCCAATATCCCATCCAACCCTGCTTCCTGTCACTTTGAAGCCATTTCCCCTCATCCTGTCACTCCAGGCCCTTGTGAAAAGTCCCTCTCCAGCTTTTTGGAGCAGCCCAGGGATGGGCTGTGCCAACACCAGTCCCGGGTCACAGGGACTCTTTGGGGTGTGTAGATGCTCCACAGCCCTACAAGAAGAGGTTGGGAGCCTTGGCTGGAGGCAGTGGGTGGTGGGCACCCTGTCAGCCTGACTGGTACATGTGGGGATGCTCAACCAAACCAGGGTTTGGGATTAAACACGAGAGAGACGGGGATTGGAATGGACAATATAACAAAACCTTCCTTGGCCGTGGTCGTGTGCACTTTGCATGTGAAATGCAAGTGAGGACATTTCTCTGCAGCCCTGAATCCCACACTCATTTCATCCTTGTGAGCAGCTCAGTGACTGCAGGCACAGCCCAGACAGGAAAACAGGGATTCCAGATCCAGAGTCATTAGCGTGAGGATCTGCCTGTGAGGAAAGGCCTCAGTGTCCCTGCACGGCTACTGGGTGGCCTTGGAATAGGGAAGGGATCCCTCTGCCTTCCAGAAAAGGACTGAAGCCGCTGTGCAGGGAGCTAAAAAGGCAAATGCAAACCTTGATTATGTGGAGCTTTGGTAGGAGGTTGCAATCGGCTAAAGTGAGCTCATCTCCGTCCAGGAATTTCCGGCTGGAAACGGTGATCTCCTCCGTGCTGTAAGCATCGATTTCATCAGGCAGGGGGCTGTTTAAATAGTTGTCCAGCTTCCTCAGGGCTTTCAGCAGGGACTTTTCCAAATCTGGGTTAAGACAATAAAAAAAGGATCATTGGAGCCTGTACCAGGGGCTCTGTGACACCGGGCGGGACGGCACCTCCTGCATCCCGTCTCCTGGCAGCGGCCCAGCTCGCAGCCAGCTGGCTGTGCCAACGCCTGCAGTCCCTTTATCCTCAGCTTAACACTTAATGCTGGGATCAGAGCCCTAAGGAGCTCAGGGGTGGGGGGCCAGTTCTGAGAAAACTGGGGCTGAGTGACCAGGAATGGCTCCTCCGAGCCCGCCGTGGGGCAGGGTTTGGCTCTGCCTCCCCGCTGGCTCCTGGGAAGGACGTCACGCCTGGGAATGGTGACAGGAAGCCACCAGGCTGGTTCAAAACCAGCCCAGGGAACAGCCCTGAGAGCTGGAGCACAGAGAGTAAATCCCAGAATGGTTTGGGTTGGAAAGGACTTTAAAAGTTCGCCCCGTTCCAACCAGGGACACCTTGCACTAGACCTTGGTGCTCCAGCTTGCCCTTGAACACTTCCAGGGGTGGGGAGACCACAAGCAACCTGTGCCAGGGCCTCACACCCCTCGCAGGGAAGAATTTCTCCTCGATATCCAATCTAACCCTGCCCTCCTTCAGCTTAAGGCCACGTGTGGTGGTCGTGAGGGTCCTGCTTTAGAGGTGTGGGGCTGGAATCCTGCTTTTTAATGGGAATGGAGCAAGGAGGGCAGGTCTCAGCTCCGGGGGGCAGTGCTTTTGGCAAAGCTGTGGGGAGCTGAAGGAATGAGGGGAGGCTGGAATCGGTGCTCCCATGGTTACTGCTCCACCTGCTTTAACCAACACTGGGGATCCTCAGCTAGGGCACAGATTTCCACAGCCTCTGGAAAATCACTGTTTGGGACACCTCCAGCACAGTGTCCTGGAAGTTCACAGCTCTGGTTTCCCTCTGCCAGGGCTCAGGACAGGACTGCAGCACTTACTTTCATTTGCATCTTTTCTGGGGTTCTTTATAAACGCGGAGAACTTTGCAAACACGTCATTTCCTGCGGAGTTCGACTCGGGGTGCTTGGGGGCAAGTTTGGGATACCTGAGGGGTTAAACCAGACACAAAGTTGTATTATTGGCCTTTACTTTCAGCGCCGTTAATTAACACACATTTATTTACACTGTGGGGTGACCATATAGGGCCACACAGCACTCAAAGGGAACCACCCTAAATTAAAAATCCCTTGGCCTTTGCTTCAGGGAATCTCAGAATCATCGAGGCTGGGAGAGCCCTCAAGGATCATCCAATGCCACCCCAGCACCACCAGGATCAGCCCTGATCCACGTCCCCAAGGGCCACATCCAGACCCCTCTGGGACACTCCCACACACAGGGACTCCACCACCTCCCTGGGACACTCATTGCAAGGCCTGACCACTCCTGCAGGGACAAATTGTTTCTGATCTCTGATCTAAACCTGCCCCAGTGCAATTTAAGGCTGTTTCCTCTTGTCCTTTCCCTTGGGACGTGGCAGACACTCTGGGGACACCCCAGGGACACCCCTGGCTTGAGGTCTGTTCCACACCAGCCGAAGTTTCCCCTCTCCCTGTCACCCGGAGCAGCCCCCTCGAGCCTCCCCCACACACACGTGCAGTTCCTTGAGAGCCTGACCCCCCAAAACCGAGGGGGTTTGATCACAGATCCCCCTGGAGGGCCCTGAGGGGTCTGGAGACACGGTACCGGGGTGGCACCAGCTTCTCTTCCAAGAATTCCTCGATCTTGTTGACGTCGGTTTTCACTTCGCCGTCGAAGGTCATGAAGGGGGGGTTGGTGCCCGGCGCCAGGTTCTGCAGGTCTGCAGGTTTTCTGGGGGGGGAAGGGAAGGGGTCAGTCCCACCAGGAGCCACAACTGCAACTTCTACACTGAACTGCCACGAACTAACATTTGAAATCACAGAATGGCAGGATGGTTTGGGCTGGAAAGGACCTGAAAGATCATCCCATTCCACCCCATGCCATGGGCAGGGACACCTTCCACCAGCCCAAGGTGCTCCAAGTTTATCCAGCCTGGCCTTGGACACTTCCAGGGATCCAGAGGCAGCCACAGCTTCTCTGGGAATTCTATCCCAGCCCCTCCCCACCCTCCTAGCCAGGAATTCCTTCCCAATATCCCACCTGACTCTGCCCTCCTTCAGCTCCAGGCCATTCCCCCTCGTCCCATATAAAAAGTCCCTCTTCTTATAACCCCCTTTAGGCACTGGAGGGGCCTCTCAGGTCTCCCCAGAGCCTTCCCCCCCCACAAGCTGAACATCCTCCAGCCTGGCAGAACAGAGTGACCATTTGAAACCCCCTCCCCCGTTTTGGAGGAGCTGCTGTGAAAAGTTCAAACCTCGAAGTCAGTCTGTCAGTGCCATCCTCACCTCTTCAAATCCACGGTGGTGACGTTGAATATGACCCCCTTCAGCCACAGGATCATGAAGAGACGCTGCGAGAACGGGCAGTTCCCGATGCTCTCCCCGTCACTGCCAGCCTGCAGTTGGAGAAATAAAGCATTATGTGTGTGATGATAGCAAATGCTGATAGCAGGGAAGCAGAAAACCCAGATCTGTGAGCGCCTCCAGCACCTTCCTCACCTCTGTTAACGCAAATTATCATGCAAATTGTCTTTCTGTCCTTCTCCAGACATGCACAGAGATAGGAGAACGACCCTGTCCTCTGGGAGATCTTGTTTTCCATCCAAATGCAGGCTGGATGTGCCACAAGTTGGAAAACAGAAGGGAAAATCACAGCAGCCCTTCCAGAGGAAACGTTTCTCTGCGTGAACGT